TGACACTTACATGTGTTTACTTTCCAAGTCAGGGGGCTGTCGACTTGTGAGCGGTGATTGCTTTTTGTCTAAGTAATCTCCCCAAAGCCTTGAGCTCTTTGGTCCTGATTGATTGAGTAGGGATCCAGGCACGTGTGCTGCTGCTTGCCACTGTTGACCCTTCACTCAACAATGAATATGGCCAACACATGGCCACTGCTTTGAGGCATTTTACCACCTGCAACTTTCAAGGAACAGCAAAGGCCTGTGGCTTAACACCCTCATGGCACTGTAGACGCTTGGTTTTGCTGGATTTAGCGTTTGTCGTTTTTGTTACTTCCCAGGATCTGAAGGTGTGTGTTCTCTGTTACTGGTCATTTCGCTCGGTCGAGGCTTGGCCTGCTCTGGGGTGCTGGGCCACGAGAGCAGGTGGGCAAGTCTGGTGTGCAGCATGGCATCCATGCTGCCTTCTGCTTGCCGTAATCCTTGGGAAGTGCCATAGCGGTATCTGTGAATTTGGAGATACGCAAAGATCTCAGGGTGTGTGCCTTTAGAATGTCAAGGATCTACCATGTTTTTTAAAATTTCATTTTATATTGGGAATTCCTGGGTGGTCCAGTAGACAGGACTCCACACTTTTGCTGCCAAGGGCCCAGCTTCAATCCTTGGTTGGCCAAAAAAAAAAAGAATACATTTTGTAAAAGTTAATGTGTGTGTGTGTGTTTATATTTTAAAAGGCACATAGTTCCATAAAGTTTAGAGCTAAAAATAGCAGTCTTCCATCCCTTCCTTTTCCCCTCCAAATTCCCCCTCCTCAGAGGCAACCACTTTCACTTGTTTTAGTTTGTTTTTCCACTACTGACATACTTATTTCCAAATAACATTCTCATATTACTGTTTCTTGAGGTAGTATTTCAGGTATTATCTCTTGACTGACAGGGAAGGTGGCAGTTTAACGTTCTCACGCCTCTCCTCTGCCCTGCCCCACAGTGCACCCTGGCCTCCTCTCGTGCTTCCAGAATCTCACATGTGGCTCTGTGTTCACATCGTTATGTCTCTGTAAACAGACTGCACAGGACATTGCAACTAGACAACCATTAAGGTTTTAAATTGTCCCATTTGAAATTCTTGTTTTACATCATGCGGTCACCTTTTCCAGAACTGTTCGCTTGTCAGCGCCCTCAGCCATGTGACGTGGTCTGCCTGTTCCCTCTTCCCTCGCGGGGCACTCTGTGGAGTCGGGCCCGCAGCTCCGTGCTCCAGTCTGCTCCCCTGCCCTGCTGCCTAGCTGTCCCCTTGGGCTTCAGCAGCATCTTTAAAAATTCTCTTTGCCTGTTTTCTAGGATAGGTCTCAACTTTCTGTATTGTCTTCCTTTTCTTGGCTTATTCTCAGCTTCCTTAAGCACAACCTTTAATAGCTTCCGGAGAAAAGGTATGTGGGAGGTAAACTTTTTTGGGTTCCTGTTTGTCTGAATATGCCTTAGCCTACCTTCATGATTGATTGATAGTTTGACTCGGTATGGTCTAAGTTGGAAATAATTTTCTTGGAGAACTTTAATGGAACTGTCACGTTTTACCTTCCAATATTGCTTCTGAAAAGCCTAATGCCACTTTTATTCCTTATTCTTTGTTAACTCCCCCACTCCAGACTTTCCAGATCTTTATCCCAAGTGTTTTAAAATGTCACTGTGATGCAGCAAAAGTGGGGATTTGTCCATTGTGCTCATATTGCTGAGTACCTGGTGGAACTTTCTAGTTTGAATAAGTAACTTACTCAGTTCTGGGAATTATTCTTTATTGTTTATCATTCTCCTCACTTTGTCTTTTCTCTTTTTGTATTCAGACATTGGACTTCATTAATTCTTTTTTTTCCCTTGTTCATTCACTTTTATTTCTCCTTTGCCTTGTCTGCCATGTTTCTTCAGCCATATAATCTTCCAGCCCTTCTAGTAACAACAAAAAAAATTTTTTTTGCAACTTTAAATTTCCAATAATTTTGTTTCTGGAATATTTATTTAAAAAAAATTAAAAACAGGGGCTTCCCTGGTGGTCCAATGGCTAGGACTCCATATTCCCAATGAAGGGGGGCCGGTTTGATCCCTGGTCAGGAAACTAGATCCCACATGCCACAGTTAAAGATCCCACAACTAAGACCCAGCACAGCTAAATAAATGTTTTTTAAAAAATTAAAAACTTTCTCTTCTCGTTTTGTGGATATGGTATCTTAGCTCTCTGAGGATGTTAATTATAGGTGCTTTTCTTTCTTAGTTCTGTTTCTTCCAAATGCATTTGTTATTTGTTTAGAACTTTGTTGTTCATGTTAGAAGTTTTCCCCCTCCAGTTTGTGGTGTTCTTGAGTAACTGGAAGCTGAGTTAATAGGCCTTGAGGACTGGGGGCTTCACTGTGGAGAAGTTTGATGGGGGCCCAAGTGTTCTTCTGTTGGAGGGACTTCCCGGGCATATGAACCCAGCTGCTAGTCTTCTGTTGGTGGGGAGTGGGGTGAGGGGAAGCGCCTTGCCTTCTGATGCCGACTTTAACTTCACGCTCCACTTGTGGATGTACCAGCTCGTCCCAGCCACGCAGGCACATGTTGTCCTGAGTACAGTTTCTGTGGTTCAGCCACCCAAGCCCAGCAGGAGTCTGAAGGCTTCTTCCCTGCCGGTGCCTTCCCACACCCCCTATCAGAGGCAGCGGCCTCTTCATCCTTTCTACCTTGGCACTTGCAGTGCTTTATTGTATTTGAATGTTGATTAGTCTGTTAGTACCAGGCACACTAGATTCTGCTTCACCCCCTCCCAAAAGACCAGAGGGTCCTTCTTTGGAGAGGATGAAACAGGGTTTTATTTATTTTTTTTCATTTATTTTTATTCGTTGGAGGCTAATTACTTTACAATATTGTAGTGGTTTCTGCCATACACTGACATGAATCAGCCATGGATTTACATGTGTTCCCCATCCCGATCCCCCCTCCCACCTCCCTCCCCATCCCATCCCTCTGGGTCTTCCCAGTGCACCAGCCCTGAGCACTTGTCTCATGCATCCAACCTGGGCTGGTGATCTGTTTCACCCTTGGTAGTATACTTGTGAAACAGGGTTTTAAACTTTGTGGCTCCTTCAGCTCCTACAGAGTCTGTGGGCAGAGGGCACAGAGCCGCGACACTTTGGGGATACTGACCCTGTTTTCTAACCACACGAGTGTGTGTCCTGAGCACTAGTCAGGGACATAGACTTTGAATCAGCAGACACGTAGTTCCTGGGAAGTATAGCAGTTTCTTAGGAGAGGAAGCAGATTCTTGTTTCTAATGAGTCCAGGAGATGAAAATGTCCAGATATTTAATGATTCCAAACTCAGCTCTGGAAATTTTTCTACTTAGTGATGTGATCTCTTTTTTCCCTTTTTTAACATTTATGAAAAGTTTCCAGTGTACGAAAAATAAACTTTGAAACAAATGCCAGACATCATGTCATTTCATCTGTAAATATTCTGGTGTTTTCATTTTAAAAATTGTTCCTTCGGGGGGAAAAATCAGAATGCCATTATCACACGTAAGGGGTAAAAAAAAACAACAAACACTGGGTTTTTACAATTTTCTGGGTGTAATTCCATACTATTATCAAAGATATATGTGATGTTCTAAGCAGTCTGTTTGGTTTTATTTTCCTCTTTTTAAAATATATATATACATTTATTTGGCTGCACTGGGTCTTAGTTGTGGAGTGTGGGATCTAGTTCCCTGACCTGAGGGTGGACCCAGGCCTCCTGTGTTGGGAGCACAGACCACCTGGACCACCGAGGAAGCCCCTGGTTGGTTTTATAGAAGCCCTAGAGTTCAAGATGTAGTCTGAAACGGTGGTTTTAGAATTTGCTCATCTCCTGTTTCCCCCCCTCCTTTTTTTTGAAGTTTAATTAATTGAGTTTTACTGTGGTATAATGTACATACCATAAAATTCCTCATTTTAAGTGTACAGATTAAGTATTTTTAGAAAATTTAATGAGTAATCATCATATTAGAACATTTCCATCATGTCCCTGAAAGTCCCTTATTGCAGTCTTGCCCTGAGCCCAGCCCCAGAGAGCCAGCAATCTATTCTCTGTCTCTATAGGTTTACCTTTTCTGTGTCACAAGTGTGGAACCTCTGGTTTTTTGTTTGTTTGTTTGTTTGAGTAGACTTCCAGCCAGTCCTTTTGTCTTGGCATCATCTTTGCTTCTCTTCCTCTGGCACCCTGGCAGCCAGTTATGAGCCTCTGGGTGGATGGGGACTTATATGTAAGTCAGATTGTTTTAACCACTGCCAGTTTTATTTGTTGTTGTCTAGTCTCTAAGTCATGTCCGACTCCAGGGACTGTAACTTGGGGTTCAGTTTTCTGGGTGCACTAAGTCAGCACACATTTGTTTACCTGCTCACCAGTTTCCAAAATGCCGTTGATACCTCTTTCCCATTCTTTTTTCCCTTGTGGGTTTTTACCTTTAAAACAACAAACCAAGAAACACACTGGTGTCTTTTTAATGGGGTTTCGGGAGTGTGTATGGGGTGGAGCGGGCAAATGCATGTGTGCAGTCTACTATCATCTAGAACTGGACATCTTCCCAATAATGTCGATTTGCATTTTTCATCATTTAAGGTTGCCAAAAGTCTCAGTTTAGAGTTTCTTGGAGTTTGTTGTTCTCAGGAATGCAGAACTCTTGACTTTTCAGGTATAGATGTTGCATCACCCACATGTTGGTCTTTTCTAACAATGGCCCCAAGTGTTAAAAGTGGGTCATTTAAGAGTGAAGGGAAGCCTGTAAACAGCCAGTTGCTGATCTGTGTGTGTCCATGTAGATTTCCGAGGCTGTTAGCTGAGTCACTGTTTGTTCCTTATTGGACAGGTGTTTCATCTGTGTGCCCCCCATCAGAAACACAAGCTTTGAAAGGTCCAGGCTTGGCCATTCCTGCCTCTCGGGTCAGTGCCCGCTCTGTGCTCTGACTTTGACTTAAGCCGTTCTGCATGTTAATTCATTCTTTCTTTGTATTGTAGGATCATGGATTTTCCTGGTCACTTTGAACAGATCTTCCAGCAGCTGAACTATCAGAGACTTCACGGCCAGCTCTGTGACTGTGTCATTGTAGTGGGGAACAGACATTTCAAAGCCCACCGCTCGGTACTAGCAGCGTGCAGCACGCACTTCCGAGCCCTGTTCTCAGTGGCAGAGGGGGATCAGACCATGAACATGATCCAGCTGGACAGCGAGGTGGTGACGGCAGAGGCCTTCGCCGCGCTGATTGACATGATGTACACCTCCACGCTCATGCTGGGGGAGAGCAATGTCATGGATGTCTTACTGGCAGCCTCTCACCTGCACCTGAACTCTGTTGTTAAGGCATGTAAACATTACCTGACGACACGGACGCTGCCCATGTCTCCCCCCAGCGAGCGTGTTCAGGAGCAGAGCGCCCGCATGCAGCGCTCCTTTATGCTGCAGCAGCTGGGACTGAGCATCGTGAGCTCCGCCCTCAGCTCCAGCCAGAGCGGCGAGGAGCAGCCAGCCCCCATGAGCTCCTCGATGCGCGGTAACCTGGACCAGCGGACGCCCTTCCCCATGCGCCGCCTGCATAAGCGCAAGCAGTCTGCGGAGGAGCGGGCCAGACAGCGCCTCCGACCCACCCTGGATGAGTCTGCCATTTCCGACGTGACGCCAGAGAATGGGCCGGGGGTTCATTCCCGGGAGGAGTTCTTTTCTCCAGATTCTCTGAAAATCGTGGACAACCCTAAGGCCGATGGGATGGCCGACAACCCGGACGACAGCACCATCATGTTTGACCAGTCTTTCGGCACTCAGGAAGATGCCCAGGTGCCCAGCCAGTCTGACAACAGCGCCGGCAACATGGCCCAGCTCTCCATGGCCTCCCGTGCCACTCAGGTGGAGACTGGCTTTGAGCAGGAAGCCACAACCGAGAAGAGTGGCTTCCAGTGTGAAAACGCGGAGGTGGGCCTCGGTGAGAAGGAGCACATGAGAGTTGTGGTGAAATCTGAGCCCCTGAGCTCCCCGGAGCCGCAGGACGAAGTCAGTGACGTGACCTCCCAGGCGGAAGGCAGCGAGTCGGTGGAGGTGGAGGGGGTGGTGGTCAGTGCCGAGAAGATAGACCTCAGCCCAGAGAGCAGTGACCGGAGTTTTTCAGATCCCCAGTCTAGCACTGATCGGGTAGGGGACATCCACATTTTGGAAGTCACCAATAACCTCGAACATAAATCCACCTTTAGTATTTCAAATTTTCTGAACAAGAGCAGAGGAAGTAACTTTAGTACCAATCAGAACAATGACGATAATCTCCCAAACACAACTAGTGACTGCAGGCTGGAGGGGGAGGCCCCTTATTTGTTGAGTCCGGAGGCCGGGCCTGCGAGCGGGCCCTCCTCGGCCCCTGGTGCTCATGTGGAGAACCCATTCAGCGAGCCTGCAGACCCCCACTTTGTCAGGCCCATGCAGGACGTGATGGGCCTCCCGTGTGTGCAGACCTCAGGCTACCAAGGAGGAGAACAGTTTGGGATGGATTTTTCCAGGTCCAGTTTGGGGTTGCACTCCTCCTTCTCCAGGGTAATGATGGGTTCCCCTCGAGGAGGAGCCAGTAACTTTCCATACTACCGCCGCATAGCTCCCAAAATGCCAGTGGTAACTTCCGTCAGGAGCTCACAGATCCCAGAGAATTCTGCCAGTTCCCAGCTGATGATGAATGCGGCCACATCGTCATTTGAAAACGGCCACCCTTCGCAGCCCGGTCCCCCACAGCTGACGAGGGCATCTGCTGATGTCTTGTCAAAGTGCAAGAAGGCCTTATCAGAGCACAACGTCTTGGTTGTAGAGGGGGCTCGCAAGTACGCCTGCAAAATCTGCTGCAAGACTTTCTTGACCTTGACAGATTGCAAGAAGCACATTCGTGTTCACACAGGTGAAAAGCCGTATGCCTGCCTTAAGTGCGGCAAGAGGTTCAGTCAGTCCAGCCACCTGTACAAACACTCGAAGACCACCTGCCTGCGCTGGCAGAGCAGCAGCCTCCCCAGCACCTTGCTCTAGCCTGACCCCGAGATAATGCCGATGCCAGAATAGGACCGGAACTAAAGTCTCTGGCTGGTTGGTGGTTAATGCCGTGGGGTTTAAGACTTCAGGCTGTGAGTGGCTCATGCAAATTTCGAAGACTAGTAAGTGGAGAGTTAACAGGTGTGGCGCTTGTGCTGCCGCATTTCTGACTACAAGGGACACATTTCAGAGAAGGGATCCAGTCCCTGAAACCACGCTCTTCCTTAGGGTTGAGTAACGCAGTTGGAAAGTAGTCTCTAATTGATGTTAGAAGTGGCACATTGAACAATTAAAAATTGAAGTGCAAAACCATTTTTTAGCAATTTTTGTAAAACTGAAGCATTTAATTAAATTTCCTATATACCTTCTGATGAGAATATTATATACTTGTATACAGTGATGCAAAACGCACTTATGTGTAACCAGTGGCAACTTTGTGCCTGTCTAAAAGGAACACCCTTGAGGACACGCCTGTCTGCCAGAAATGCTTTAAAGTTTATCATGAGCTAGTTCTAGGCTTCAGAAAGTACTGTATTTTTTTTTTTTTTTTGTCTGATTTGCAGTCACAGATGCTGCACTTTGATGGTGCTGACACTGGGTCCAGAGTGAGCATTCTCTGGACTAACAGGTGTGTATATACTTTTGAAAACATCATCGTTAGATAGGCGTTTTAACAATTTTTCCCAGTTTTAAAGACAAAGTTGTAAAAGGAGTTATGTACTTATTAATAGGGAGCGACAAGTAAGGTATTGTTTCTGTATGTGCTGTTTTAGCGGTATTTTAACCAACTTGTATCAACGTTACAGTTTGGAAGTCAGAAGAGCTAGTGTTCGTCTTTGTTCTGATGATGTGGAGTCCTGTTTAGTGGGATCTTTTACGGCGCATTTACCCTTTGTTCCGTGCAGATTTCGGGGGCCGGTCCAGCCTGACACATCTCACCCAACGACAAGCCCGTTCTCTGCTTCGCTTCTTCACACACTCATGCCACTTACAGCATCTTTCCTGGGCCTAGATTACTGTTTTCAGGTAAAAAAAACTAACCAAAAGTGAAGTCAACCCCCCTCCATCGTGGGCTTTATTACTGTTCTGTTCTATGGTTTTAAAGTACAGACCCTGAGCTTCGGTTGTTGCCCCAACCCAATACTTAAGGTTTAAAATCCAGACACAGCAGTGGTCATGGGTAAATTTTCCCATCTCTGTAAGAGGATTGGGCAGCCCAGAACATAGAAGCCACCAGGCAGCATCTGAGACAGTCTGAGGAGACCTCTGGGTGACTGAACCTGGCCTTCTCTGGGCCGCCCCTGTGGCCTTCCAACCCTTTGGGCAGCATCTGTTAGGCCGAGCCCTGGCTTGAGAACTTCCAGGGGAACAGCACAGGTATTTGTCTCTGTAGAGCTCATGAAGTCAGTTTAATTCGTACATGAGTTCATTTTTTGTGCAGCTTATTTGAGACACCCCAAACCATTGTGCATAACTGAGCAAAATCCTTCAGTTCTTGTGTATAGAAAAGTAGTCAGCATGCGTCTTCTCTTAATCTAGCATATGCAGTTTACATGTCTGTCTGTGGATAAACTCATAATGCTGTCAGATTTATCATCTCCTATGAACTGATTCCCAGGGAGGAAAGGGAAGGCTTCCTTCCCAAAAGGGAAGCCTCTGGTCCCTCTCCTGACAGGGGAGGGGAGAGGTGGGGAGGCAGGCGGAGGCCATGGGATCACCTGTGAAGCTTGGTGTGTGTGTGGAAGATTGTTAGTCGTCATGCTCTGACGATGTGATGAGGCTCTACATCCACCCCTCTGGGGAACCAGCGACTTGTGAGGTCAACCCTGGGAGGCAGGCGGGTCAGCGTGGAGGGAGGGAGGCCCTGCCTGGCCTGGGAAGAGGAGTCGGCGGCACAGAACAGCAGTCGCCCTCCTCCCCTTCCACCTTGAGGAAGAGGTGCCGGGAGGTGGCCCCCACCTGAGCTCAGGCTTCAGTGGGCTTGCCTCGGGGACTGACAGTGGCTGAAGCCCTGCCTCTCCACTGCCCGGTGGAGTCTGGAATCTCTCATCTACCTCTTAGTCAATCAGTTTCTATGTGTGAGAAGCAAGGCTGTGGGCCGGTGTCCTTGTACATGCTGTAGCACTTAAATAATTCAGAGGTTCCCTGGAAGACCAGTCCCAGGGTTCTTACAACTGGTAGTTTCTACCTGAATTTTAAGTGGTATTGGGTACCTGGATTTTGATTGGTTAGCCTTAATTATAGCTTGGCATAATCATTTCTGGTGACCAAATCATAAAGTTCTATCAGGGCACCTGTGTCAGTGGTGCTATGCTGGTCAAAATTTGAGACTTTCAAATAAAAGCTTTGTCATATTAATGCCTCTAACTAATTATGTGTTCTTTTTCTTCACCTTAGGTTATTAAGGTTGAAACAAAAGAGTGAAGTAGTATTGCTTTTTCTGCTAACCCTGCTGTTACCAGCACTTTGCTTTAAAGCAGGCATCTTAGAAAACAGTACTCTCACGCTGCCGGTACCAAGCACTGGTCGTTAGGTCCTTGCGCTTTTCGCCTCTGCACTGTGGACGGAGGTGCGGCCGTGTCCTCCTAGAGGGCCTGCCAACTGGTGTACTTCCTGCTGCTCCCTCCCGGCCTCCTAGGGGAGAAACCCCTTTCTTCAGTCTGGCTCGGCTGCGGCGAAAAGCCGGAGCCGAGTCCCTTAGCAGGCGGGGGGCTTCGGCAGCGCCGGCAGCCAGGCCTTAGGAGTGAGGAGGTGCTTAGTAAAGGGCCTCCACCTGGGACGGGAGTGGAGGAGGAGAGGGACACGAGGAACAACGTGGGAAGGTGCTGAAACCAATTTTAAAATAAAAATGAAAGAAACCTACCTACCCTGATTATTCTTCACCAAAAAGTGAGTGTTGTGACCTCACCTAGTTCACTTCGCCACATGTATTTAATTTGCCTGACGGTCTAGGTAGCAGGTCCCATTGCTGTGGTCATCACTAGGCTGTGATTGTCCTGTCCTCAGTGAGGGAAACTTGGAGGCCTTTTGGCTGAGGCTAAGGTGGCTTGGACAGGTTCTAGGAATTCAAATGCTCGGGGGTGGGGACAGGGGTTGGAAGCAGAACCTGGAGTCACTAGAGGCCCTGGCTTGGGAAGGCCAAAGCAGACACTCTCGTTGGTTTCTCCCTGTTACATGTCCAGACATCTCTCCGAGAATTATTTAATAGAATTACACACTCGGGGCTCGGAGGCTTTCAACCACAAAAGTGCAGCCCATGTGTTAGCACCAGTCTTCCCTCTGCAGAGAGGGTACAGATCAGACTTCCTCCTCTGGCTCCCAGCCTGTGGGTCCAGCCAGCCAGGGCGCGTCTGACAGAATCCCAGGGCCACTTGCTTCCTGGCCCGCAGAGTCCCCGTGAGGCTACAGCTTGAGCTCACTGGGCATCGGCTCCCCTCGCAGGCCAGCCAGCAGGTTGTCAGCCGCCAACACAGACATGATGTTTCGGGTTCTGTAGGTGGCACTGCCGATGTGCGGCAGGATCACTGGAGAGGAGAGGAAGGACGGGAAATGAGAAGGGTGGTTCCAGAGCCTTACATCGGGCTGGGGTCTGCCAGGAAAAAGAACAAGGAGGACCCCCCTCACTTCTATTTGCCTTCCCTCCTGTCTCAAAGCACTCCTCTCCCCGGGCCACCAAACCCAGATGCAAGGGTGACAGATATGCATCTTGAACAGGAGTGTCAGGGTCAGAAGGGGTCCCAGAGCCTCTCCAGACCCGCCCTTCAAATACCAGTGACACCAGGTGCCACTTTACCTGCTCGTCCACACCGTGGGCCCCTCCCTGAAGGCCCCAGGCCTCTGATCTCCCGAAACAAGCAGATGAGAGGCTGGACAGCACAGTGCCCTCTGACCCCACTGCAGAGCAAGTGGGGTCAATGGTCCCCAGAGAGTGCCTTTTGAAAGCAGTCCCCAGGGCACGGCGCTGACTGCCCGGCCTCAGGAATGGGAGTTTTCCCAGCTCTGGGCAACAGCCTGGCCGACACAGCCAGCGCTCCCTTCACCCAGGCACAGGGTGGGGACGGTAGTGCCTCCAAGGGCTGTCATGACAGGAGCAGTCAAGGAGGGGAGGCGGCCACAGGCCTTCTCTGGTTTTCCATTCCAGAGGGTGAGCAAGGACAGGACTGGCCCAGACGGCCTGCGGCCCTAACAGTTATGTATTAGTCTGGAGACCGAAACCAGACCAGCTACCTGAATAGAGAGAACGTAATATAAAGAACTGTCAACTCAGCACAGAACTGTTAACAGTAACTGAGGAAGCTAAAGAGGAACTGTAAGTACGTGGTTCTCACAGTGCTCCCGGGCCGAGTAGCAGCCACGTGCGAGATGTCAGACACATCGTCAGGCCCCGCCCGGGACCTACTGAGGCAGATGCCCGTGGGGGCCCGGAACCATGTATTTGGTCAGTCCCTCCAGGTGCACTAAGGTATCACCACGCTGGTGATACCAAACCTCCCCTGGGGCTAGGGAATGGGGGAGAGGAGTGAAGTGAAAGTCACTCAGTCGTGTCCGACTCTCTTCGACCCCATGGACTATACAGTCCATGGAATTCTCCAGGCCAGAATACTGGAGTGGGTACCCTTTAACTTCTCCAGAGGATCTTCCCAACCCAGGTCTCCCGCATTGCAGGAGGACTCTTCACTAGCTGAGCCGAAAGGGAAGCCCCACAATATTGGAGTGGGTAGCCTATCCCTTTCTCCAGTGGACCTTCCCGACCCAGGCATCGAACCGGGGTCTCCTGCATTGCAGGCGGATTCTTTACCAACTGAACTAGAGAGGGTGGGGTGGTTAGAACTTAGAAGACTGAGGGGGGCCTTCGGAGCAGTGCCTCTGCCTCTGATGACTGTGGCTTGTGGCTCTGAGGGGCACGGTGCCTAACCTGAGTGTTTGGGAGAACTGTCACTGGCTTCATCAGCTGCGGTGGGAAAGAACCACCGCTGGGAGAAGTGTTGCTGGCCAAGGGCGGTTCTTACCACAGTTCTTCAGGGTCAGGAGAGGGTGGTTAGTAGGCAGTGGTTCCGGGGTCGTCACATCCAGTCCAGCAGCTGCGATCTGGCCACTGGCCAGGGCCTGGTAGAGGTCGTCCTGGTCTACCACTTCTCCCCTGGGGATGACGGTGGGTGTCCTGAGGCACTGTTAATATCTAGGAAGGGACTGGAGTGGCTGAGAGGGGAGGTCTGCCCCCGTTAACACACACAGTGGACTAGAGGCACCCTGCGCACATTTTGAGGACCCAAGACAACCTGGGGTTTGGGTCTGTCTTTCCAGAAGTGTGTGAGTCCAAGCTCACTGACTCACTGACAAACTCAGGCCCAGGGCCATGAAGGCTGGCCTCTAACAGGCTATAAAGTCTGTCAAGTCCAACCGTTCGGGGTTTGAGGAACAAAGTTACCTGATTTGCTGCTATGGTGCCTTCACTTCCTGAGCAAGGTCAAGGTACTGCTGGGAGCCAGACCAGGCCCTGCTCTAGCTGGGACGTGCTCTGGGGCGCTTACTGTCCTCCTGAGGTGAGTGGTTGGTTGGTTTATGGAGAGCAGTAGACTCAGCCTGACTCTCATCGACAGCCCATGGGGATCACAAGAGCAGGGGCAGCCCCTCTGCAGGCTCGCCTGGTGACCCAGGGTACCTGCTGATGTTGATGAACACGGCCGTTTTCTTCATGCACTGGAAGAAGTTCTTGTTGCAGAGCCCCCTGGTGGCCAGCGTTAAGGAGCAGGCCACGACGACGAAATCAGACGCGGCGGCCAGCTCGGGGGCGGACACTGCGGGAGCGCGGGGCCCCATCAGGTGCTGTGTCCCGGGTAAGGACAGCGAGAGGCTGGGAAACCTGACCCCTCCCTCCCTTCTCCCACAGTGCAAACTCCCAAGATGCTTCCTGACGGCGGCATCTCCACCTGGACAACTCTGATAGCTACGCAGTCAATGGCCACTCACGGGATCCCAATGTGTCACATCCTTCAGGCAGCCCCCTGCTCGAACGGCGGGGAAACTGAGGCCAGAGAGGAGCAGAAGCTTACTCAGGGTCACACAGCGGGGATCCAGGCCACACTGCTTTCACCTCTTTCAAGGCCCAATGTGCCCACAGGGTGTAGTGGCTGGAATCTGGCTTGCCTTCTGCTCACCCCGCTGTGCGCCTGCCAGGGGGCTGGATTCACCCAGATGCAAGGCTGAGGGTCAGCGCTCACCAGTTTGTTACGGAAACCATGAGCGAAGGTTGCCAGCAGTTCCTTACATGTATCATACATGTGCCAATTCGTTAGACGGTGTCACCATCCCTACCGCTCTAGGCACGTGGACCACAGTGAGGAGGGACCTGGCAGGACAGGAGACCCGGGGTCTCTGACACGAGGGGACTCGGTGTGGCCAGGCTGAGTCCTTGCACTCCCCAAACGGGCCTCTGCATGCAGGGCAGGGAAGTCAGACAAAGCCTACGGGCCATCACAGGCCTTGTAGAGCGCCTGCACTCTGCCCCAAAGCACTGCCATCACAGCAAACATGGAGAACCGCCTGGCCAAGCGCAAGGGCCCTGCGGAAATCCAGGTTTTACTTACCAAACTCTGCCTGGAATTCCGCTGCTTCCTGAGGCCTGGGCTGGCGCCCTGTGTAGAGAAATCTCTGGACACCGAATGGCTTCAGACGCCGAGCTATGGCCTGACCTGGTGGCAAGGAGTCCAGAGTCAGCGCTTGTTCCCAAGCCCTCACAGGGCGAGCGCCCAGTGGCTCCAGGGAGGGGAGCCCCTGGGGGAGGGCTGGGGGGGGGGCAAGGCCCGTTAGCTAATCCTGCCACAGGGCACCAGCCTCACCACCCCACACTGCCCTCAGCCCAGGGTTCCATCCTCCAGTGACCACAGCTCCTATGCGGCTGTGACTGGCCTGTGCTGTGGTCTGGCCATCTTGAGGGCCACTTCTAACCTTCCCTGAGCACTGGACGGACCTGGCAGCCCAAGAGAGGTCTGACCACACGGCCCCCTGCCTCCTCTGGACCCTCTGCTTCTGTTAATGCAGCCACAGGCCCCAGATGACTATTTGATGGCACTGCCAACTCGCCCCACCTCTTAACACCTTTCCACATACGCTGCTGCCAAGACGGGCTTGGGCAGCTGGATTTTCTGACTCAGAACATGCCCTAAAGCTGCTGGGTTCCTCCAAGCAACTCCCTAGTGTGGGAGGCAGGGCTGCCAGCTAGCCAGGCAAGTTATGCCCACTTCCCACCCTCACCCTCGCCTCTGCTCCAGGCAGGATGCCAGACTTCTCCAATGTTGGGGCCGCTGGAAGAAAAATAGCTCTGCCCTGCCTCAGAATCACAGGTAAGCTCTGTCCACTGGACCCTCTGGTTTCTGTGTTAAGGCTTCAGGAGTCAGATGCCTTCTAGAAACCAGGCCTCGGGGAGCAGGGCTCGCCAAGCCCTCAGCCATCACTGCTTCATCCGCTCTGTGCGGAGCTATAATCATAAAGAACCCTGGCAGTAACAGCTCGCACCTGTCACCTAGTGACTTCTTAAGGACTCATTTTAGTTTTTGGCCTATCTTTTACGATGCTGTGTCTTCTCGCTGAAGATATCCCTACTGCACACAGGTATCCTTCCCAAAGAAGGATTGTCAACATCCAGACACGGTGCTGGAGATTCTAACCAAGACATGTGAGCCAGGAAGCCAAACGGGTAGACGGAGCCTCACCTATGCGCCCCAGGCCAACGATGCCGACGGTGCTCTGTGAGAGGCCGTGGCCACACATCCACAGGGGTTTCCATGAGGTCCAGCCGCCGCTGCAGGGAGGGGGGAGGGGGGCAGGTGAGAGGCCCTGGCTTTGGGCAAAGATGAGGGCTGCTGCACAGACCCCACATTCCCAGGCAGGGGCTGTGGTCCAAGGGACAGGCCCCACCCTTCAGTTAAGGATGGAGGGGACCACAAGTTACACCTACAGCCACTCGGCACTGCGGATAAGCAGTGGGAATGACTCTTCTTTTAAAGCCACTGGGGACACAGAATCTGAGGGCTGGAAAGCTGCTTAGGGGTTCTCCTCCCTTTCTGCAGACAGGGAAGCTGAGATCAGAAAGGGCGACTTGTGTGAGGTCACACAGCCAGGGCAGAGCAGCAGGTTGCAAACCTGGAATGTGGGATTCCCAAACCAATGTTCTCAGTGCTCCAGGGAAAACACAGGCCCACCCCGCTGCCCTGGACTGACGGGGGAACACAGCCTATCTTGAGTCACTTCTGATGAAGGGGCCAACTACCTAGGCAGGAGGGTGGGAGGGACACTCAGCACTGTGTCTACTCAGCCCCACGCAGCCTCGGCCCTGCCACACCCCAACCACGAAGCCCCTCTCCCGGTCCACATTCTCTGAGCGCCGGCACCCGCACACCTCCCGGCCTTGGCTCGGGTCAGTGCCCCCCATCTTGGGTGCTTTCCCCGATTCTAGATGTACAGCCCACATCTCGATCTGAAACTCGCAGGTCAAATTTTTTTAATTTTCAGATTTTAGAAAAGGGGTCAAGTATATATGCTGTATTCTACATAACACACTCGACAACATCTGGGGTGGCACCTGTATCAAACCCGTCAGTGTATCTGCAGCAACATGAACAACCTCCAGTCTTCAGAGCCTTTTGGATCCACGTAACGGCAGACAGGGCCCTTTGAGGATGCCCACCGGCTACTTCTCCTGCAAAGCCTTCCCTGAGCCACACTGCACCCCTACAATTTCCCTTCATGCCCTGTTTCAGCTCCGCTGTGCACTTTAGTATCTTGCCTGGATCTGTCTCCCTCATTAGCTGGGGGTGGGATCAGCTCTGGGCCAGGGGTGGCTCTGAGTGCTCAAGTGCTGAGCTGAGCCAACGTCCCCCCCTTCCCCCGGCGTTCACTCACTTCTTCACCTCCTCGATGGCCTCCGGCAGCCGGCGACAAGTGGTAAGCAGCAGGGAGACGGCGAGCTCGGCCGTGGCGTCGGTCAGGACACCCACACACTGCACCCCTACAATTTCCCTTCATGCCCTGTTTCAGCTCCGCTGTGCACTTTAGTATCTTGCCTGGATCTGTCTCCCTCATTAGCTGGGGCACAGCTGGGGGTGGGATCAGCTCTGGGCCAGGGGTGGCTCTGAGTGCTCAAGTGCTGAGCTGAGCCAACGTCCCCCCCCCGGCGTTCACTCACTTCTTCACCTCCTCGATGGCCTCTGGCAGCCGGCGACAAGTGGTAAGCAGCAGGGAGACGGCGAGCTCGGCCGTGGCGTCGGTCAGGACACCCGGAGTGTAGCCCACACGGATCCCACTGTGAAGCAAAGAGCTGGTGGTAACAATGGCTTCAAGCACCTTCCCAATTTCTACTGCTGGGACACTGCTGGGATGCGGCTTTGCGCCTCCTGCGCTGCCTGCTGGGAAGCTCAGAGCTGTAAGCGGGCCCCCAGAAACAGCCAGCCCTCAATCCCCTCTTGACCATCTCCCGTTTTGAGAAGGATATAAGATGGAAGATCAGGCTCCAATGTGTGGAGCTCCAGTAACTGTGATTACTTAATCTTTGTGAATTTCCTCATCTCAAAAGGGAAATAATACTTGCCTTTTCTACTTGAAGGGGTTGATGTGAGGGTCAAAAAAAAAAAAAAAGAGGGAATGAGAAAGGATATTACCTGGACATTGTTACCCACTGATTCTGACTGCTTGGACTTACCTGACCTGTGCACACATGGGCAGATTTTATCATTGGTTACCTTACACTTTCACCAAATGGTCAAGGGATACGAAGAAAAGACAAATAGATACGCAGCTCCTCTTCTTCCCTCCCTTCACTCCAGAGCCCAAGCTGCACTTACCGCTTCTTGATTTCATCCAAAGCCAAGTGGTCGACACCCACAGACATTGTGCTAATGACTTTGAGATTAGCTCCTGTTGGGCAGAAAAAGCCTTATCTGTATCTCTCGTCATGGGATTCAAGGCCTTCCCATATATATAGACGGGTCCAGAAAAGGGAGGGCCCTGCTAAAGGTCATAAACCAAGGCTGAACAGAGCTGGATAAGGGCCCAGGGCCCTGGCTCTCCTCCACACCATGGTCTTTGTTCTCTTAAGGCCACCCTCTGGGGACTCAGCCAGCAGAGAGGGGCAAAGTGTGTGCCCCGTGGAACTGTGGTCTAGGACCACAGTGAACGCCCTCAGAGCTCGCGGAGCCCGCTGAAGACCTGCTTGGGAGCCAGCAGCAGCAGCCCAAGACACCCGGGGACCCTCCCCAGGCCTGCAGGGCGCACGCACCTGCAGCGTCCAGCAGCTTCTTGTCTATGCGGTCCGAGAGGAGGCAGAGCAGGCCATGGGCCCCGGCCACTCCCTGTTCCAGGTCCTCTCTGGGGATGGGCTCATCAGAATCCCACTGCTCCACCTCACAGCTGAAGACAAAGGAAAGAGCACTCAGAAGTGGGGGGGCCCCACAGGCCCCCAAAGCCCTCAGACCACACCCACAGGCCCTGTCAGTGGGAAACACTGTTTTCTGCTTGCCCTGGCCTCAAGCTGCCTGGGGAGTCAAGGTCGGGTGTGGGCGGCCTCAGAACTGTCGCGAGAGGGTGGCTGAAGGGTGAAGGCGGTCACGGTGCAGAGCTCTCCAACAAGGACTGAAAAGGGCCTAAGCTGAAAGGAGAAAGTCACGGGGACCATTCTCAGCTCAACACAAGAAGAGCTTTCTTACCCCCACAGGAGGCCTCACAGGCAGCGAGCTCCCAGGCCAGGCTGCCTACTGGGAAGGCCAAGTGGGGGGTGCTGGCAGCGCTGGGCTTGGAGTCCTTGTCCAGTTGTACATCCTCTCCTCTGAGTCATGAAAGGAGCAACTATTGTTTGTGACTTTGTACACGTGCTGCACTCTGCTTAGTCACTCAGTCGTGTCTGACTCTTTGCGACCCCAGGGACTGTAGCCCACCAGGCTTTTCTGTCTGTGGGGATTCTCCACACAAGAATACTGGAGTGGGTTGCCATGCCCTCCTCCAGGGGATCTTCCCAACCCAGGGATCGAACCCAGGTCTCCCGCACTGCAGGTGGATTCTTTCCCATCTGAGCCATGGAGGAGACCAAAGCAGTTCAACATGGAGGAGTTTCAGGGGGCACTTCCGAAGGGGCAGGTGGGCCCCAGGCATGTTTCCCAGCAGTGCTGCCCAGCCTCCGGCCCTTGACATTTAATTCAGTGCAGCCAAAATGTCTGGGAAATCTACATGCGCAGGACACAGAGCTGCTGGCACTTTCCAAAACTCCCTGCCCAGGCACCGGCCTCCTCTCAGCCTCCTTTCCTGACAGAGGCCCAGCGCTGCGGCAGTGTGAGCGCCGCTCCTAGAGTTCTTGTCTTTGCCCTCCCCTCTCCCCCTCGATGCCTAGTACAATGCAAGTCTTCAGCAAAAGTTTTATTGCACTGAACAAAAGAAACAAATCTCATTTCCCCCTGGCACTTGTTTCTGAGGCTGGGTCCACCTTCTCCTAGCCTGATCTGGGAAGTGAAAACCTGCATACTGCAGTGCTCAGACTGCCGCAGAGCAGATTTCTAATCCCAGCTGTGCCACCAATAGAGGCTGGCGAAGGTACCTGACCTCTCCCAGTTTCTCTGTAAAGTGGGAATCACAGCACTGATTTCACAGTGTTGAAGGATTAAGAGTTTACTCTTAAGAAGCACTTGGCAAGGTGCATAGTTCAGTTTAAGAGGTGCTCCCAGAGGCCCACTGCTAACCGTCCAAAGGGACCAGATCAGTGGCTGCCAAGGCCCCTGACCCGTCCAAGTGACCTCAGAGGGTAAAGGATTAACAGCCTGGGCCTTGAGACATGGGCAGTCTCCCTTCTCGCCACGCCCATGACTGGGGAAGCCTCCAGCCTTCACCCCACCGCCACTGCAAGTGCCGCGGGCACTACGGGTCCCAGCGGCACAGCAACGGGCCTGGAGAAGGCTTGGCCCCCGAGGACTTTCTCTAAGGTTCCCCAGACTCCAAGGCCGTTCCAGCCAGGCACGGGTTCGAAAGTTCGGCGAAGGCCCAAGAGCAGGACCCCAGTTCTCTCTGGCCCCACGGACCGCCGTGTCCGCCCCGACAAAAAGAAGTGGGTGGCGGGAGGCCGCCCCCCGGCCCGCCCGGAGACGCTGAGTCACCCCGCGTGCAGGCTGCCCGAGGTCTCGGAGCGGTGCCCCGGGCTCCGCAACCCCTTCCCGCGACGCCACCCGCGGAACGCGCGCCCGGAGGGAGGGGACTCGGCGCGCGGAGCGGTCCGGGGGCGCCGGGCTCTTACTCTGCGGCCCGGGAGAGCGCGGCGCTGCCCTCGGGGGGAATCCTGCGCGTGACGAACACCTTCATGACTCTCACTGGCCTCATGGACCCCGCAGCCGCCGGATATTGGGCCCAGACGGGGCGGGCCGGAAAGGGGGCGGGCCCCGGGAGGGGCGGAGCCGGAGCAGCAGGGGCGAGGGTGTGGATTGGCTCCGGAGCCGGGGCGACTCCGGCTCCGGGTGTGCGCCTTGTGCATTTCTGTTCGTGTGATCAAACCGTAATGAAACAGACTGGCTCTGGAGCTGGCGGCAGGCTCGTGCCCTTGGCTCCCAGGGCCTACCTGAGAGCGTCCGGTCGGTCTTCGGGGTTGGGATGGGTAAAGCGCAGCCACGGGAGAGCCCTGTGTGAATGTGTGTGGGTGCCCGTGAAGGTGCCGACCGCTGTGCGGATGCTGCCTGCGCCGGGGGAGAAGGGTGCGGTCAGGGGTCATCCCCGTTCCCAGGGTCTGCTGCGCCTGGACCATCTTCTCTAGGTCTGTTCCATCATGGTCACGGTGTTCCAGGCAGCGGTCTTTGGCCACACAGACTGGACTCTGAGCCCGGCCTGTTGTGCAAACAGGCGCCTGGACGAGGGCAGTCTGAATCCCAGAGTGACCTCCTTAATACTTGGTGTAATTTCCCATAGGAAGCCCACAGTTGAAAGCCACCCAGCTTGCCGGACACCTGCTGACTGGCCGGAAGCAGGTCAGGCATAGGGCCAGGGCCAAGATGCTGGGGTCATGGGGTCATGGGGTTATGGGCAGAGACTGGGGTCCCAGTCAGGTGGACAGGGTCTGACTCCCAGCTCTGTCACTTACCAGCACTGTAGTCTTGGTCGGTTCACATCCTCTTCCTAAGGCTGTTTCTTCAGCTTCAAGACGGGGTGATGAGCACCTACCTGAGTGTCATTGTGATTATTAAGCAGGCAGCACTTGCCTGGGCCCTGGGCCATGTTTGATAGTCACCAAGCACCGAGGCCATGAGAGAGGTGAGGAGTTCAGGCTCCGGAGCCAGATTGCCTGGGTTGAAATCGCAGCTCTGTGACCCACTAAGGACAAGTCTTAACCTTCTACGTGCCTCAGTTTCCTCATCTGTAAAATAGGTGTGATAGTACTTATCTCCCTCATGGCTTGTTGAGAGGCCAGCCGTGTACAGTAGTTACAAGCAGCAGGTATGTTGGGCTGCACCCCTCAGGCCTACAAGCCTTGTAGTTGTCCAGCTTCGAAACTGAAGAAAGAGCCTGCAGACAGAGATATCAGTGGTCTATCTGACAGGGGATCATACACAGAGGGTCCTGGAGCCACACCTTGCCAAACAGATGCTGGCAGGACATTGCAACAGTCTTGACCACCCGAGGGAGAAGGCTGCCGTTTCCAGGAGGGAAGTGGCATCAGCTGGGCTCACCGGTCACCAGGGCCTAATTAAGCCCTCTAATTAAGAGCTTGGATAGTCATGTGAGTGAAGCAGGGACCAGTCAAGCAGCAGATATACAGAGAACAAGAGAGTAGCCACCGTGAATGGCCTAGCCACACAAGGTAACACATGTCACGGGTGCTTAATAAATAGTAACACATTCAAGGAACCCCACACCCCGGCGATAGCTGCTGGCCAGAGGTGCAGATGCGAGTAAACAAGTGAGCGGGGCCCAGACCTGTCCCTCAGCTCTGCCGGCTTCATCTCTACCACAGGCTGTTCACGGACTTGCTCCCAGGCTTGGGATGTTAACCTGAATCCAATCTGCCTCCTCACGGCCCACACAGGAAGGAGAGACAGGCCCAGAGAGGTGACATCTCCAGCCTGAGTTCACACAGAAGCCGCTGAAGGGGCCAGAGCTGGATGCTGGGTCACCTGGGTCCCTGGACCGTGCTCTGTCCTGCCATCTCCCCCTGTATGTAACATATCAATGTCTTACCCACAGACTGCGATCTGCGGTGCTAGACCACTTCGAGACAGTTTGTGAAATACCTCAAACATTGAAACACGGTGTTTTTCTTTCCTCAGGCCAGGGCTTCTAGCCCTGTGGCTCCATCATCCGTTAATCAGTGGTGATACCCGGGTCCAGCTCCTCCCTCACACCGGGACAGGCAAGGACACTGGGCAAGTCTGGCCACCAGAGGCAGGAGGGGCTGTGACATGTCAGTGGGCCCCTCCTCCAAGGCAAAGCACCCAGCAGGTGCTCAGTAAGGGTTACCGGATGGTGGCTAGGGAGCCAGGGGATGGGGCCAACTGAGGGCCCAGGAGATGAAGCAATTGGGAGAGGATGGATCCGAACTGGAGGGGGATCCGGGCTTACCTGACCTGAGCTTCATGGGTTGCTGTTCTTGTTTAGTCGCTCGGTCGTGTCCGACTCTTCTGACCCCGTGGACCACAGCTCACCAGGCTCCCCCGTCCATGGGATCTCCCAGGCAGGAACACTGGAGTGGGTTGCCATTTCCTTCTCCAGGGGATCTTCCCCACCCAGGATTGAACCCAGGTCTCCTGCACTGGCAAGTGGATTCTTTACACTGAGCCACCGGGGAAGCCCCTGGGGACCATGGAGGTGGTGAACTCACTCCTCAGAGTCAAGTTTCCCTGCACCCCTGTTTGTTCTCTTCACCTAGTGTACTAACTCAGCTGTTAGCCCCTCCTCCATCCTTCGGGTTCAGGAAGGCATTCCGGCAAGCAGAGCCTTCACTGACTGAGCTCACTCTGCACTGCTCTGTCTCTCCCAGGCTTCAAGGGTGAAACAAACTAACAGGCAGCTAAGATTCATGGAGCCCTTAGTCAGTTCCAGCAGCCTGGGAGATACCTGGGTGGGGTACCAGGGCCTGAGGGTACTGAGGGTCTGGGGATCAGGGCCACAACTCCAGCAGGAGGATGGAAATTTGGGACATGCAAAAATTCAAAATGACAGAAAGGAAGTTTTTGTAGAGCTTTTATAAATTCACTTTTGCATTTGAATCTTGAATACATTTGGAGTATTTTGTGTTTACAGTTTGACGGGGGTTCTCCTTAATGTTTTTCCAAAGGATCAGCCAATTATTTAAGTACTATTTTTAAATGAGTATTTTTCTTTAGTTTTGGAATAGGGAATACTGGTTGACCAAAAATTTCGCTTGGGTTTTTCCATAACATCTTACAGGAAAACCCAAACAAACATTTTGGCCAACCCAATAAATGCAAGCTACAAATCCCCAAAGGTATACAGGGTATCACGTGAAAACTGCCTATTCCTGGCCTGCCCCCACCACTCAGATCATCTCCAGAGAGGCAGTCACACCTTTCCAGAGATGTTTAATGCATACAGGAATATGCATATAGTTTTCAGATAAATGGTAGCAAATACCCTCTGCCTCACCCCGTTTGTTTTCACTGAGCAGCATATCCTAGAGAGTGTTGCGGATCCGGACACATAGAGGCACTTCATTCTTTTTATGGATGTGGACTGTTTCACCGTAGGGTGAACAGCCATGAACAGTCCTCTCCTAATGGACATTTAGGGCCCTTCCATCTTTACTGTTACAGTGCCACCACAAGGAGCCTTTCACAAATGTTGTTTTGCGGGTGGATAAATACATCTGTAAGATAAATTCCTAGAAGGAGAAGTGCTGGGTCAAAAAACGTGTACTGTAAATTCTGATAGATACTGATAACATGCTTGTCAGAGAAGTTGTTCAGTTTACACTCCTATCAGTAACATATGAAAGCACCTATTTCTTCAGTGTATTATTATTTTTAATGGTATCTTCTTGTAATTTTAATTTACAGTTCTCTTTTGAGCCAAGTTAAGCACTTTCATACATTTAAGACCCATTTCCTTTTCCATAAACTATCTATGGGTAGTCTCTGCCTACTCAGGTGAGCTGGGCATCTTTGCCTTCGTGATTTGTAGGTACTATGTGTACATTAGGAAATTAGCCCTTTGTCTATAATGAACTGCAAATATGGTCTTTCCCCCAGTTGTTTTTTTGTCATATGATTTTGTTCATTATTTTTAATGAAGACATTTTTATTCTTGTGGCTTCTAGGTTTTGTCACACACTGTGTACCACAGTGTATCTATTGTATCTATTTGAGATAAATTATCTCAAAACATAGTGGCCTAGAGCAACAACAGTCATTCTCTTATTATCTCTGATTGTTTTGGAGGTTGGCTGGGCTCAGTAAGAGAGACTGGTTCAGGCTCCTTTTTGCTGAGAAGTCGGACGGTGGCTGGGCCGCAGGCAACTGAAGGCTTCCTCACTCAAGTGTCCGGCTGCCGAGGCTGGCATCAGCTTGGGCCTCTGCAAGGCCCCCGGCCTGGGGCCTGCGTGTTCTCACAGCCTGGAGCCTGGGCCGGTCCGGGAGACAGAACGGGGAGCTCTCAGGCACTTAGGGCCCGCGCCTGGAAACGGCACTGCCTCGCTTCTGCCATGTTCTCTCGGCCGCACGGCCGCTGAGCCCGGAATCAGGAGGTGACAGAGACCCCACCTCTTGATGGGAAGAGTATGGAAGACTCGGGGGGCTATGTTTTAAAGTTGCCTTTTCACAAAAAAATCATCGGATCTCCTGCTCTGGAACTTTCTATCTAGTTGTATGTGACTGGTCATCTGTGAGACAGTCAAGGGGTGTTGCTCTGGAAAGCACCAGGTTTGTGGCCATGTCACGAGCCTCGTACCCAAGGGTGGGAGAGGACAGCCCTGAGGGCCTCGAAGCAGAGAGCCAGGCCTGGGTGTGAGGCTCTGTGAGAACAAGGCTGGCTCATGAGGCCTGCCTTGGCCGCACACTGGCCAGGTGGCAGCAGGCAAAGCGCTTCTGTCTGATCCTTGGTTTCCAAACCACAGAATGGGTCAGTCACTCCCTGTCATGGTGGTTGGTATGTGCCAGGGCCTCGGAGGTGCGCAGGAAATGCTGACAAATTGGGCCAAAGTTCATCCTCGCTCCTCGGCCAGCGGGAGAAAATGGGCCCCAGCCACGTTTATGCCCACTGTCTGCCTCCCTGTCCTCAGCGGCTCCACTCCCCGCAGCTGGGGCACGCGCCCCCTGCAGCCCCTTCTCCTGCTCCAGCCCTGGACCCCTCCTAGCCTTGGTCAGGGGATGCAGAGAGCTCAGGTCAGCCTGGCCGAGGGGTCTACTCGGCCCTTGGG